AAGGGGGGGGCCCCCCCCCCCCCCCCCCCCCCCACCTACCCTGCCACCCACAAGGTGTTCAACTCTCGCGCAACACAGCTGGTTCTCGGAGCCGGTGCCATCCACTCCACGGCAAAGCTCAAGTCCATATCGGCCAAGCACTTGGCGCTCTGCTCGCAGTCGCTTGGTCTGGTGCGGTCCCTGATTCCGTTCCTCAAGGCCGCGCTGTCGGACGAAGACTGCCGCAGAAGCACCACCTCTTGCTGGCGCAGAAGTGGACGCCGTGGCGCAAGGTTAGTGAGTAGTAGTCCAATGTGTTTTGTACTTCCAGTAGTATCTTTTTCGGCGCTTTCCCCTTTCATTGTGTTCAGGCTTGTCTTTTGCCTCTATTTTGAAGAGAACGTGCGCGGCCTCAGGGGGATCGCCCGCCCGCGATGCAGATGTGAGAGGGATTAATGATTTCGTGTCCCGTTGTTTTGTGTGTTTTGGTTTGTAGAAACGTGTGCCTGGCAGCCCCTCGGCCTTATGGCTTCTTCCGGCTCCTGTGTTTTTTCCGAGCTCTCGTGTGCGCGCTTGGCTTGAATATTCGTGTGGCCGTGTTTTTCTTGCGTCTTACGCTTGTGTTTGATTGCCGTGGTGCCGTAGACTGACTGTGCTGTGCGGCACCAAATATCACCGACTTGGCGTTTTTTCCCGTGAAACTTGGCTTTGCATGTGAAGCCCTAGCCGGCTGAGGTGGCATTCGGCGGCGTTGATAAATCAATTCGATCGTTGGGCCGGTAGCCCCCCCCCCCCCCACCTGTTTACTCAGCGAATTACCTCTATTCAGCACATCCACCACTCGGTTGCTTGCCGCTGTTGTTTCTCTCTCTCCCTTCAGGACTATCGGGATCACCGAGATAAGATCCTTACCAAGTTTGTTTCGATGATCGAAGAGCTCATCGAAGCCCGCTCGGGCACCCTGAAGCTCACCGATTGGGACACGCCCGGAGGGGGCCGGGGGGCGGCGGTGGCGGCGGCGGGTGAGTCTTCAGGGGACGGCGGTGCCGCCGCCGGGGGCGGTGCGGATCCGTGCCAGTTTACGGCAGACGTGCGGAAGGGCGTTACGGCCATGCACAACATCCTGCAGCAGCAGCTCCCGCCGGAACAGCTTCAGGTGATGGTGATTGCGTCGATTTCCCCCCGTGCAGGGCGTTCAGTCCTCGCGAGTATATTTTGAGGCTGGCAGCTACAGCAGTAGGGCACACGACGGTTGTGGGAGAGATCGCGGGTTGGCACAGCTCCCTGCTGGCTGTCGTAGAAATGGCTCCAGTTGCTGGCTGGGAGCCTTCGTAGCAAACAAGTTGTCCTGCAGCGGTGAAGCACTCCGAATTCTTGGTGTCGATAGCGGGGGCGGTGCTTGTACGCTCGCCTATTTCGAGGACGGGGGGGGGGGGGCAGTTGATCCTGCAGCCACTCCGCCTGGGTGGGCGACGCGATCAAAACTATGGTTGCGCCGGTGTTGTGTTCGTGTTCTGAGAACCGCATCTAAAGCCTCAATTTCGGTAAAACAGCAAACAGCACATTAAGAAGTTGCTGGAAACAGGAGCAGCCACAGCAGTTGCCTATTGGTATTAGTGTCCCGTGTCTACCGATACCAGAGCCTGCCACGTGGCGAAACAGAAGGAACTGGTGAGCACACGCACACCCTCCCACCGTCGATCGGTCCGTGCCGTATAATAGGCCATTCTTGTTTTTGTTGGCCTGGTCTACTCCTTCGTTACTTGTTACAGGGACGTGTCTGCCACGACGACAAAATAACGTGACCCCATCGTGTCGTCCCTCCCCCCCCCCCCTCTTGCAGGCGGTGTTCCGCCGCATGTTCGCCGTGATCACGCGCAAGGTCCCTGCCTGCTTCCAGCGGGAGGGGGTGTCCCCCTCGACGGCGGCGGGGCGGCAGCGCATCCTTGACGACGTGGGTTTCGCGTGCGCGGCGCTGTCGACGCTGCGAGGAGTGGACTCGAGCACGCTTGGGCTCGAGCAAGCTATCGCGGAGATCTACGGCAAGGGGATCGACGGCACCGGTGGAGGTAGTCCGGCGGCGGTGGCGCCTGCGACTCGGGGGGGGGCGAACAAGGGCCCCTTGATTGGTGCTGGTTCCGGCCGGTCGTGATTGTTTTTTTTTGTTGTCTTTTTTTGCGGTTCGTGTGTGAATCAATTTTACGACCTTGCGGTGGAAGGGTTGGCTTGGTTTGGTTCCCGCTTCCTCTCCCTTGTCGTGTCGCCTTTGTTTGTGAACAAGCACGCCGGCCTTCGCAGTTTCGTTGTTGTCGGCGACATTTGTTAACCTTATTCAAGGGCCGTCCGATGGGGGTCTAGAAGTCGCTTCAGGCGCGCGGCCTCTTCGCCTGCCGCATGGTGTTTTCTTGGTTGTGTGCTTGGGTGGGGTGGTTTGTCGTTACTGCGGCGGGTAGCTTCTTTGCTGTCTGTCGCGTATTTTGCTGTATTTCGTGAGTCTCTGCGTCTCTTTCCGACCTTAGAGGCTTCGTCCCAAATGAAAAAGCAAGCCGTTTCGTCGTAGTCAGAAGCTTTCGTTGCTGTTGTCGCCAACTGTAGTAAAGATCTCCAACGTTGTGGGGGGCTCGGCGGGCGGATGGGGTCGTCGTGGAATCCAGACATGATACCGCTACACTACTACGGCTGGCTGGCCGTTGTTTTCCCGCCGCAGCCCCAGGTAGCGCAACAGCAGCAGCAGCAAAGTTCTCGCGCGCGCGCATGTATGTAGGTAGAATCTATTCGGTAGACTATGTACTTGGAAAAGTACCATACGTTTCGATGCTGTACTTTGTGTTGGTGTCAACTGTCGAATTGTTGCCCTCACGAAGCCACGTATTAATTACATATTCAATTTTTGTACGAGCCCATTATTTGCTTTTGTTTTCTCATGGCTGAGCGCGGTCTTCTCCGTGTGTTGCCAGGCCAGTACGGCATGGATGCTCTGAGCGATCTCCACACTGCGACCAATCAGTTACGCCTAACGCCTTCGACGCGTCTCTTGCTGCAAAAACGGAAAATTGAACGCCCTTTTCGCTACCATGGCAAGAGGCAAACGACTGCTTTCACCACTTTTTCGTAGGCCCTCCTCGCGCAAAAGTGGCAGACACACATGAACAACAACATACATGAACAACAACATGGACATGAATGTGAGAACGTTAACGTTCGTTCGTGTGCACCTCGCAAGTCGCCCATTGCACGAGAGGAGTGTTGTGTGATTAGTGACCACTACTTGTACAATAAATAAACACCGTGGCGGCATGTGCGTAATTGTAGTACAATTTGCGTGTTCCCCCTGGCGGTTGGTTGCCCTCCCATTCACGGCAGTAGTAGCATTTGCGTCACCCCCTGCGAGCGAGCGCTGGCGAGCGCCGGGTGCACCTCGCACTACTACTGCTGTACCCACCACTCGCACGTCTGCACAGAGAGAGGGAGGGAGAGGAAGTGCCAGTGCCCAATCTTGCAAGGACATGGCTGATGTAGTAGACCTTGTGCTCTCAGATGAGGACGACGGCGGCGGAACTACTTCAGGAGGAATCGAGAAAACGGCACAGGTCGAAGAGGTTGATGTGAGCAGCGAGCTCGTCGTAGTCAAGTCGCCAACGGCAGCGGCATCATCAAGACCAGTAGCCCGGGCTCAGACCGGGCGTGCTGCCAGGAGGAAGAGCGGCGGTGCTGCTGCCAGCCCTGGTGTTGGTTCTGGTGGCAGAGGACACGCGTCGAGGAGCTCGCCCAACAAGCGCAACAACAGCAAGTCGGCGGTAGCAGCGGCAGCGGCAGCAGCGGCGCAAAACGCGGTCCTCATCGACGACGACGGGGACGTTACCGCACAGAACGCCTGCTCGTCGTGCTCCAAGGAGGTGCGGAACCCCTTTCCGCTGGAGCGGTGCGGGCACACCCTCTGTCCTGGCTGCCTCCTCACCAGAGCCTCCGCCTCGGAGTGCCCCGTCGACGGCTGCGGCAAGCCCGTCTCCGTGCGGGACCTGGCCCTTATCCTCGACGAGAACGCGTGGGTCGACCTCCAGGTCAAGAGAGTCGCCGCCTTCCGGGCGCGCGCTCGGAAGGGCGCGCGGTGTCCCAAGTGCCAGTCGTGGGTGGAGGGGGGCTCGACCTCCGCGCCTTCACAACGCAAGCAGGGCGGCGACGTTGTGGAGGTCGGCAAGGTAGGAGGCACGGCGAAGGACCGGGTCAAGGTGCTGCTCTCCGGCCAGCCCCTCGTCTGTAACCAGGGGCACCTGCTCTGCCGGTTCTGCGCCGCGGAGCTCAGCAAGAAGTCGCCCCGCTGCGTCGCCTGCGGCGACGCCAAGCTCCTTCCCGTCAGCGGGCTCCTCTCCCTGCTCGAAGAGCTCGTCGCGAATCCAGCCTCCGTCGAGCTCTGTGGTCCCGTAGGCCCCCTGCCCAAGACCTTCGCAACCGGCGCCGCCGCCGCCGCCGGCCGCGGCAGGGGCGGGAGAGGGAGAGGAGGCCGAGGCGGGTACGTCTACCCGGGCGGCCGTGGCGGTGGTGGCGGTCGAGGCATGGGCGCCGGGAGAGGGGCCGGGTGGGCGGCGCTCATGGCCGGTTTCGGGGAGCTCGGCGGTTTCGGGCAAGGGTACGGGTACAACGGCGGCGGAGGCGGCGGCGGCGGCGGGGGGGCTCCCAAGATCAGCTCCAAGTGGTCCAAGGGGACAGGGTACGGGGGCAGCGGGGACGCCGCGGCGGCCGCGTCGACGCAGGCGGTGGCGGCTGAGGCGGAAGGGCGCGCCGACAAGGCGATGGTGGTGATCTTCGATGCCCTGACGGGTTGCCTGCCGGCGACGGGGGACTCCCCCGAGCACCTGCCCGAGCTGCTGGCGCTCGTGCGGGAGTCCTCGCTGCTGCAGACCGTGTGCGCGTACCTCCGCAACGACAGCCTCATGGACATCGCCAAGCGCCGCAAGCTTTATCAGGTGCGTGTTTTCCGAGAACCTTGTGTGGTGTTGAAACAAATTATGTGTGTCTCCTAAGAATGAAATGAAAAACCGCGTCTCTGTCTCTCTATCTTGAGACCCATACCGAACATTCTCGTCTGCCCACCGCACCGCACTACCACTGCCTGCAGCTCTCCCGCGTGTCTGATGAATGATTGCTGTCATTTCCGTCTTGTCTTGCCTCAATCTATTCGCTCTCTCTCTCTCTCACTCCAACCGCGACAACAACCAGAGCCTGTTCAAGCTGGTCCTCGGCTTCGCACAGCACGAGCTCCTGGCGCCGCTTATCGACCACGTGCCTCCGAAGAGCGGCGGCGCAAAGACGGAGCTGGAGGCTAGCGCCACCAGCAGCGGCAGCGGCGACGCAGATAGCAGCAGCGGCAAGGGGAAGGGCAAAGGCAGGGCCTCTAGCGACGAGGACTTGGCCGTGGCGGGCGCAGACGGCGAGGGGGATGCCGAGGAAGAAGACGAAGACGTGTCTGTGGCCGAGCTCTTGGCGAGCGCGAACCGACAGGCAAAGGTCTTCGCGCAGGCCCCCGGGGCGGGAGACGGCAAGGGCGGGGACGCCGGGACCCTGGCGTTCGCGTTGCAGGTGTGTGCTTGATAGCATCCACCGCGCTAAGAGGTTGCCCCATGAAAAGACGTCAGTCTCAGTGCGGTTGAACACACAACATGCTTCCTCTCTAGAGGTCATGATCTGGGACCCCGTGAGGGGGGCGTGATGGGGGAGGCTAAGCTACAGCACTCTCCGGATTATAAACGGTAGCAACAGGTGAAACTGACGGTGTGTGTGTGTGCTTAGTGTCATCGACCGAGCTACCAGCCCACTGCCGTTGTAAAGATCGGTGATAGTGGGCCCAAGTCATGTGTTCGTGCGCGCGCACGAGCATGTGTGGAAGTCTCTCCTCCTGTCTCTCGTTTTTTTTTATCTTGTCTCTCTTCATTCCCGAAATATCCTCTCGTCGCCCGCGCGCTGTTCTTCACTGCTGTGTTGGTGCTGCTGTTGTTGTCGTCGTCGTCGTGCAGGTGACGGAGGTGTACGACAAGGTGAAGGCGAGCTTGACGTACTTGAGAGGGATCGCTGAGGTACGTTTCTTGTGTTTTTTTTCGTCCGGTCGGGTGGGGGCTGGGACGTGCCTTTCCAGCATCCTCTCCAAACACCGTGGCTACGAGGCTCCTATAAATTTTCTAGGTTCCCGTCCGTTCTGGCACCCGAGTGCTTTGAACAGGCCCATGGCGTACTCTTTGTACGTTATGTGAACCACACGATTGGCGTAAAATGATTTCAAGCAGCAGTGGCTTGGGGGTTGAGCTAGTAGCCTCGCAAACCTTGTGACTCCGTGGGTTGTGGGTTCGAATCTGTCCCGGAGTGTGAAACTCGTCGGTTGTGTTTTGTGCCAGGCGTGTCGTCTTTTTCTAAGAAAGGATCGTATACCCTGGTTGTGCAGGACCGAAGGATAACCTCCGGTCGAACGAGCCTCGGGTTGTACCTCCTGTTTACAATTACTTTCGCTCTGCGTGACGAGCGTTATGATAGCATGCGTTACAACGCGTGCCAGCTCCTCGCTGATAGGACGACCCATTTTACCACCAGGCACGAAAGAAAGACAAAAAAGCCTTCCAGGCGAGGAACGCCGCCTCAATTGGAAAGCCATTTGACACACTCCTCCTATCGCGGGTGGTGTAGGCACAACAGGGTATTGCCTCTTGCGCGGCTCGATTGTCTACGTACGAGTTTGTGACGTTCCACTCGGTACCAAAACCGTTTCGCAATGATCCATTTCTGCTACTTTTTCCTGGACTCTTTTGAAACTGCAGACAAAAATTTACCACCGTTATCCGTTAGCAGCGACCACGGTTCAAACATCAATGTTCCCCCGTACCTGTACATAAAGATGGATTCATTGTGTTATATAAATAGTAGAAGCAAAACGCGCTTGAATATGTATCAAAGTGTCCACTCGTAACGACACGTTCCACCAATTTGTGTCGTCGACGCGAGTGCAGGCCCGTGCGTCCTCGCCGGCCGTCTTAGCCCTGGCGTCCGCGATGGGCGCTGGGGGGGGAGTGGCCGGGGCAGGGTTGGGAAGGAAGCGCAAGCGCGAGGCCGCGGACATCGTGGAGGTGTCGCTGGAGTCTCGGTACCTCTCCGAGCTGGGGGACAGCCGCTTCGAGCTCATGGCTCTGCTGGGCCCCGGGCACTCGCACCACTTCTCCGGCCAGGTAGATACTGTTGTTGTTGTCTTCATGGTAATAAACCGTACCTTTCTGGCATCGGACGCAGACGGCTTGACAGGGGGAAAGCTTGGAGTTTTCTGTGTTGACGTGCGTGTCGGGTGGGGGGGAGAAGAGGGGTTGAGTTGAGGGTGCGTTGATTGCACTGAAGAGCTTGTGTCTTCGGGCGTTTTTTTTTTTTTGTCAGTACCACGTCCTCCCACCAGTGTTCCCGTCCCAAACCACCCTCCCTCCCTCCCTCCCTCCCACCCCACCCCAGGCCTCCAGCCAGACGGGCGGCGCCGGCGGCAGGGTGCGGGCCGTCCGCATCAGCCAGGAGGTATCCACCCTGGCGACGTCCCTTCCCGTGCAGCCGGACTCGAGCATCTTCCTGAGGGTGGACGAGGACCGTTTCGACGTCATGCGCGCGATGATCACGGGGCCTAAGGGCACCCCATACGAGTGCGGCTGCTTCGAGTTCGACATCCTGCTGCCCCCGGACTACCCCAACAGCCCACCTAAGGTGCACTTCCTGACCACCGGGAGCGGGAGGGTGCGGTTCAACCCCAACCTTTACCAGACGGGCAAGGTGTGCCTCTCTCTTCTGGGGACGTGGGCGGGGCCGGGCTGGAACCCCAAGACGAGCACGCTGCTGCAGGTGAAAATGAGGATTTTGATGTAGGTGGGGGATGTCGAGAGCTGCCATTAGTGTTGTTGTTGTTGCGTCTATTGTGGTTTTGATTTGGTTCGCGAATACGGGCGAGGTTCAACCACAATGTATAGTACGGCGGGATCATGGATTTGTAGCGTGGCGGGATAGAAAACTGCTGTCGCGTGTACGTGTGTTGGTGTGCGTAGGTTTTAAGTATTGTGGGTGCTCGTCACCGTCCCCCTCTGGACACGGCAGGGTGGTAGGCTACGGCGCGCTCGTTTGTTTGTGCGCTGATTTCAGTGTCCCCGATTTTCCTTTCAACCACAAGGTGCTCATCTCCATCCAGAGTCTCATCTTTGTGGCGGAACCGTACTTCAACGAGCCTGGCTTCGAGGGGCAGCTCGGCACTCCTCAGGTATGCATCACCAGACCAGACGCACAGGTAGCTCCCGCCCCAGTACGAAAACCAAAAACACAGAAGCAGCATCTCCACACGGTTGGCGACTGCAGGTTGTTCTCCGTGTGGAAGCGAAACTTTTTATGAGTTTTGTAGCAGGCACGAAGACGGCATGCCCAAGTCAGGAGGGAGGGAAGGAAGGCATGCCGACGTTGTTTTTCCCTCTTGGACGTCGTGAAGGCCAGAAAGAAGTCAGCGTGTGGGTGTGCATGCTACTGCCGAGCGAAGAGGAAAAGAGTAAGAGTTGGCGTGGGTTATCTTGTTGCGCCGCGATATTTAAAGACGTTTCGGTTCCCTTCCGCAGATGCAGATGCAGACCCCCCCCCCCCCCCCCCATTCAAGAAATACTTTTATTTTTTTTTCCCCCCCGTGTCAAAACAAAAAAATGAGAAAAGCTCCTGTGTGACCTTCCGCTTTTGTGACCCCGGCTGATACCACGTCAGGTAATACGCCGAAAGGGCTGGAAGCCGGCGCCAGAATCGATTGTGACGAACACACACAAAAACACACAGGGTCGCTTCTTGTGTCCTCTGTGGGATAAGATAACCCAACAGACCAACAGACACATGTAGAGCACCAACTGGGGTGATGGATATGGTCGATCGACGGAGCACCGCACGTACACTTGTTACGATCGACACGTTCTTTACCTCTTGACTTGGCTGGCTCCTTTTATTCGATCACCACTCTCCACTTTCCTCGCCTGGTTTCGACGAAAAATTGAAACAAAATTGCACCCGCAAGTTCTTTGTTTGCTGTTAAAAAGCAGAGCAAGCTCTTGGTGTGTGGTGCCCCCCCCCCCCCCCCCCCCTCGGGAGAACCGGCCTATGCCTCGGTAGCTGTCCTCCCCTTGAGCTCTGCCTGCTCTCATGGTGATGCATGGAAAAAAACGAATGGATTTTTTTAATCCGATTAATACGTACTGGTACACCACAGGGGAGAGTGGCGAGCTCGAGCTACAACACCAGGATCCGCAACGGCACGCTGCTTTTGGGGGTCTTGGAGGCGCTAGAGGAGAAGCGTCCTGGCGCTCTGTCCGATGTAAAGCGTACTCATTTCCGGCTCATGAAGGTGCGATATATATTCCGTTTTTTCCACGTTTTTTATGGGAGCGTTTTTTGTATGATGCATTTGGAAGCGTGTCCCATGTTTCCATCAAAAAATGATTGTCTTGTATGTTGTAGAGGACGCCTGTCGGAAGTATCACCAACCAATATGTGCACATTCAACGTGTAGGAGGATACGATCCATCGGGGTAACTTGCCATCTGGAGAGTTACGAGTAACGCATCGTTGAGATCTGTCTCTTGCATGGTCTCTGGCCTTTTGCCGAGAGTGGAGGCGGAGAGTCTTGGACTCTCCTCCCTCTGCCCTCTGCTGGTCACTCGTTTCTCTCCCTCTCTCCTGGTTGCATCTCACTAATGGACCCTAGCCACCCTTGGCCGTGGGAGATTACCGCAACGGCACCGGCTTCTGTCTCTGACGGTAGCCTGTATCCTCAATGTCGTGTTGTTTTAGCCCCGTCGGTTATGTCCTTGTGTTACCGGACAAATGTTGGCTTTGAGGTCAACTATTTACACGTAAATGGGGTGAAGACTCGATGTGACGACGTACAGTACCGTCTCACGCGAAGCAGCATGGAGTGGTGAGGTGTGACAATGGCTGACGCTGCGACTCCGGTTATACAACTCAAGTTTAAGTGTGTTATGTGACCGCTTAGAATTTGTGTTGTACAGCAGTGCAGTATTGTACATGACGAGCTTGGAAAATGCTTTTTTGGGGTTCGTTGCTCGCGTGTTGTGTACGAAACACAAACAAGACCAAGTTTGAACAACAGAGGCAGACGGGCCCTTCGTATCGGTATCGTGGTCTCAGCTGCGCGTGCTCGTCCATGGCTGTATTTTTCTTTTCATTGCACCCACCGCTACGACAGACGCACAAGAAATATCTAAAGAGGGAGTCTGCTGCATGCCCCCCCCCCCCCCCCCTTCCTTGTTTCGTTCCCGTGGGGATGACTGCCGGGACTTTTCTGGGGGGGCATCCCCGGGGCAAATCATGGGCACGGGCCGATCGTGGCTTGGCGAACTCCGGGCGCAGGGGGGGGGGCGGGGGGGGGCCTTCCAAACGTACCCCCGGGGGGGGGGGGAGGGGGCGGGCTTCGGCGAAAAAACTCCTCCCCGGGAAAAGGTGTTTCGAACCACCAAAAAACCCTCTCCGCCTTTGGAAGGGGGCGGGTCCCCCCCGGAACCGTGTGGCTTCCCCCCGCGGGAGGAAGGGGGGGGGAAAAAAAAAGGTAAGTTTTTTTCCCCCCCGGGGGGT